TATATATATATATATTTATATTATATATAGGACTCGTGTTTGTTTTCACTTTGATTTTTTTTTCCTTTTTTTTCTTTTTTAATGACGCCTATCGTATATATATATCGCATTAGCGTAGATTATTTCTTTTTTTTTTTGTTTGTATCACGCCTCAATTTTACAATATACGAATCAATGAAGTAATAACATTAATTTTTAATAATAAACATCACACGACAATTGTGTATGCTCCATTTGATTTCTAGTTAACATCCTTTATAATCGACAACGTTACATTGCATAAGGCGATTTTGATTCTTTGACTTTGCAAGCAAGACTTTGCAATCTCCCCCACCCCTTCCATATTTATTTTTTAATCTTTTTTCATTCCTCTTCCTTCCATCTCACATTTTTTATAACACATTTCTTTTTCTTTCACACGTAAAACACGCAATCACACGTACATGCACACACGTTCTCTTTCAATTTCCGAGCATCTCTCCTTTCGCGAATATTTCATATATATATAATAATAATAATAATAATAATAATAATAATAATATAAATATGATTCTCCTCTCCTCCTCATCTAATTGCGTTGATGCCTCTTAAAGAAAAAGTTCGATAAAAATGTTTGAAAAAAGAAGAAACGAAAAGAAAAACAAGAATTAAATGAATCCTTTAACCGGGCCGCGTGTAAAAATCATGTAAGTACATTTCCAATGTATTCATTTAACACACGTGTAAGAGAATAAGTAGTAGTATATATATGTGTGCTGTATGTGTGCGTGCGTACGTAACACGCGTTAACATTTATGTGTTGTATGTATTAATGGCTTGTGCGTTTATATGAATATACATATATCAAACGTATACACATATAAATATACATGTACACATAATATATACATATTATACATATGCATAAATACGTGCACTCTTTACAAAACAAAAAAAAAAAAAACAAAAAAAAATAAAAATAAAAGGCACACAAGTTAAAAAGCAAAAGTATTTATCTCTCTTCGAGGTAGGATCATTTAGAATCAATTAGGATCGTTTAAGATCGAGTGAGGAGAGGTTGGTGGTGTGAGGACAAGGGAGGAAGGGGGAGGTGTTATATAAGGAAATTTGTGAAAATTATAGGAAGAATATTATATCAGACAATTAAACATGAATTGTTTTATCTCGAAATGAAATGATTCGAAGTAATCGAACGTTTTCATGCTTATTGACTTAATAATTGTGTTGAAAAGTTAATTGTTTTCGATTTATCGAGATGCTACATCTTTCGTTCAACCTTTCTCTCCCTCTCTCTCTCTCTCTCTCTTTCTTTCTTTCTTTCTTTGTTTCTCTGTCACTCCCTTACTACTACTACTCAACACCCTTTCCGTTCTCTTTCTTTCTTTTTCTTTTTTTTGCTTGCTCCACCTTCTCCTCATCCTTTCTCCCACCGTCCAAACCTTTTCCTCGTTACATTAGCTTCGCCTTGGCACACTCAGGACAGATAATGTCGTCTCCGTCGGTGATGAAGCCACGGCCGACCAAGGAAGTTTTGCAACCGGCGCAGATGAAGCATTCGTTGTGCCAATGCCTGTCCTCGAAGGAAATGAAACGAGTACCTCCGATTCCTTGAAAATTCAATCGAAAATCAATCAAATTCATTACAATTTATTATATATATATGTTATTATGTTTTATCATATTCGATGAATAAATATACGATGAAAATCTAACAAAAAGTAAATGAATATTTAATTCACATGCGTGATGGTAATTTAATAAATTGTATAAATGTATTATATGTATTATTTTATATAAAAATATTGTTTACTAACGTTAAATATGTTAATATAAATAAATTTTTGGAATTAATTTAATATTCATAATATAATAACCAGCACGCGCGTTTACTTTAGATTACTCGGAATGTTTTCTCGTCGATTTATAAATATGATTTTTACATTTGATATATATATATATATATATATTTGACATTTTTTTTGGCATATATATTAATTGTATAATAAACATACGAATATATATTTATTTATAAATCGTCACGAATTTCCCGGAACAATCAAATATTAATATATGTGTAATTCGTATATATGTATATATATATTATATTTGTATTTGTATACCGGTGATTGGTTTGGAACAAGCGGTGCATCTCTTAGCGAAAAGTTCGCCGAAGCAATCAGCGCAGTAAGGTTTGTCATCGCGCGACGTAAATCGTTGGCCTGCCAGCGAATTATTGCAGTTGCTGCAAGTGAAGCAATCCCTGTGCCAGGGTTCGTTCTTGTATGTTACTCCGCCACTGGTGATTATCTAGAAAAAAAAAAAAAAAGAAAAAAACATGAAGACAAAAAGCATCCCCTGACTTTCCCGAAACAAGATATTAAATGAAAAATTAACGAATAATACAAAAAAAAAAAAGAAATATTCACAAAAAACCATTATGAAGTCCAACCTTGTTGCATTTGACGCATCTAGTGGCAAATTTATCCTCGTAGCAACCGGCACAATAAATTTCCTGTTCCCGAGGGATGAAACTTTTCGTACCGATCGGATTCTTGCATACTACACAACAGAAACATTTCTCGTGCCATTGCCTGGTTTTGTATTCCATCTTCTTCGTGCCTGTAAAAAATAAAAGAAGTATAAAAGTAAGTAAAATAAAACAAAACGATCGGTAGGTACCAGGTGCAGCAAGAGCCGCCATTGTCTAGTCACGAAAACGATAAATATTTGAAAGACTATTGTTTCTTAACTCGCAAACGTATCATCGCATCGTATCGTATCGATCGATCGAATGAATGGGAGGAGGAGGAGGAGGAAAAGCCCTGTGGGCTGACTTTCGAGGGTGCAACGGTAAATATCCCTTTACTTCCTTCTATAGTCTAGACTGATGTTAAATGTCACGTTGAATTGCGTGCGGCGCCCAGTGAATTTTAATATTCCATTTTACGATATAGGAAAGTATAATACAACATACGTACTTTCTTTTTTTTTTTTTTTTTCAAATGTCTCCTTTAAACGCAACTCGACGAAACGATTTCAGAGAAAATTGCATTCTGTTAAAAAGAAGAAGAAGAAAAAAGAAAACGAATAAAAAGCACAGTAACAAGTACTGTTCTCTTTTAAATTCTAATTTATGCAAAGAATACACGTGGCCTGTAGAAAGGTATAAGCGAACGTAATAATTTGTCTCTTTCTCGATCGTTTGAATACAAAGCTCTTCTCTCTTACCTTCGCGTATAATTCGTTGAAAAATGATACACACGATACTAAGAAATTATAATCCATTAATAATAATTTAAGTTTCGTTAAAATATACGAGAAGATTTTCTTTTCTTATTAAAATAAGATATATGAAAAGGTAATAAAAAAAAATAAAAATTATCATTTTTTTATACACGCGAAATCATTTATCGTACCTGTTTGTTTATTTATTTTTTATCGAATTGACAAGAAGAAAAAAATGTAAGACACGGTTAATAGATAAGTGGAACATTTTGAAAAAAAAATAAAAAAAAAAACAATCGTAGATACATTCTATTAGTTTTAATTTTTTTCTTTTTGTTTTAAACGATAAGAGACACACACACATACACCGATTAATTTTTATCAATGAATACAAGAAAAAAGAAAAAGATATAGAAAGTAATTGATAGATATTAGGAAAAATACAATATGATACAGATATATCGTGACATATTTTTCGTAAATCTCTTGGTCCAGCGTGACTCAATAAACGATTCGTGACGTCACGATGGACAAGCAATGCCTCCGTATATGTACAAAGTCTGATGGGTCCAAGGTTGCAGATGTGGCAATCCATATAGGTACGCATCGTGTCGTAGTCGTCATAATAATCTTAGTTCGTCTTCGTTCGTTATTCAACGTTGCTTCAACTATGTTTACTCGTTCAACGATAATTCTAAGTTACACGGCTTATTAGCTTCGCGTGATTAATTGCAACGATGAGATGATCTCGCGGTCTTTTTGAACGAATATAAATATATATATATAACATTATTTAAAAATGAAAGAGATTAGATAAATGAAAGATTAATTAAAGTTAGTTCAATAAAGTAATGTTCGTTCAATTCAATATTGAAATTACGTGATTCTATACACGTTCCTTCGTGAAGAGATTAATTATTATGACAAATGGACCGATAAATTGAGAAGTTGACTCAGTTTGAGTCATCATTTAATATAATACACACGATATATATTATCCAAAAAAAAAGAAAAAGAAAAAGACAAATACGAGAGAACATTTTCCAAGGTTATCAATATAAAATTTCCTGACCTATATAACAACAACACCGCGTGTTTTTGTGTAAGGGTTTAAAATAATAGATCGGACAAAATTATTTCCCGATATTATTTTAAATATTTTGTCGTAAATGGGGGGGGAGGAGGAGGAGGAAAAAAAAACTCAATGAAGCGCGTGAATCGATAAGAAGTAACGTCGTGTAACGTGTGTGAGTTGCAAACGACATAGAAGAATCATTTTAAGGTGACATCACGCATATTAATATAATGCTATCGAGTCTCTTATCGATTTGGATAAATAATTTATGAATGGTTAATAAAAAAAAAAAAAGAAAAAGAAAAAGTTCAGGTTGTGCATTAAAAGGTTTTTTATATTTCCAGTCTAGTCGATTGTGTATAGGAAACGATATTAAATGATATATATCCTTGAATATCATTTTCTTTTTTTTTTTTTTTTAAATTTTATACTTAAAATATCTATTATCTCATATACTAGAGATTATGCAACAAATTACCATTGATATTTACATATATTGTAATCAAATAATAATATTTAATGTATTCAAGATCGAACAGATTCTCTTAGTCGATTCGCATAATTTAGAAATAGAGAAAAAAAATATATATATATGAAAGGAACGAATAATAATAATAATTGATCAGAGTATCGATGATAAATCATACAGGAAATGTTTATACATAAGTAACGATTATCTCATAGCTTGTGGATAACGATTCACCTTCCCTTTCTTTTCTATTCTTTTCTTTTTTTTCTGTTTCCTACAAATATTCTCTCAACGATTTTTCTCTACTTTGTTTAAAAAACTAAAACGAAGTTACTCAAAGTATTTTCGAAGAGACAAACAAGCAAAGCGCATTCGTTAACGTCATGCTTGCTGCACGATTGAGTACTCGTGATTCCCGATAAGGTGACGTTTAAAGGCTCCTTCGTTTCGCTCTACTTTTTTTCCTTTCGTGATTACTATAGCCACCACCTGTGTTGCCATCGTGATTCGAAATCGTCCCCTATCTTTATCTACATACATAATATCCTACTGTGTATCCTACTACGTAACCTATATATGTATACCATACCCATAGTATACACGTTTGTTAATATGCAAACTATACATATACATATACATATTCAACCCACGATCATCGTCCTTTCTCTTTCTTTAATCGATATAACAACTATGATATTATACAAAACAAAATGTCAAGTAACATATTTCTAAAAAAAAAAAAAAAAATAAAAAAAAGGAATTAAAAATAAAAAAACAAGTAATCACCTGGATCAGCTAATTTTTGATCTCCAAGAAGACAATCCTTTCCAAGATAACACCTAAACTTAGTATCACCTTCCATAGGAAACATGCTTAGTATGGCAACATCCTCGTCATTTTCTTTAGCCCTTCTAATCCTTTCCTCGCCGACAGTTTTAGTTTGCAAATGTAATTTATTAGAAAATCTTTCGGTCAACGCGTCGGTAGCCATTTTCCTTCTATATCGATCAGAACCGAATTCGTTAGGATAATACACTTGGAGTGAGTTAAGAGAGACGATGTGATAATTCGTCTTTAAGATTAAATTACACGTTCGTATAACTGTTCAATATTCACGTCAATATCACGTGCCTTTTCGCGATCTAACCAAATTTTTCTCGCACGTCATTTAATTCTCTATTCCGATATTATTAATTTTTTTCTGTTTTTAATTCAACTTTCGTCCCTCTTTTTTTCGGATTCTAAAAAATACCGAAGATCGGATTCTTTTCCTTTCTATCCGTGTAAATTGTTGTTTTTCTTTTTAATTCATACGATTTCTTTTTCCCTTCCGAATTCTGAAGTTACAAACAGACACACATATACACATTCACGCACATACACGCACACGCACGCACACAAAACGTTTTATTAATCGAATAGCAATACGCGGGTTTATTATTAGAAGTTAAAAGATTTTGTATGTGTATCTTTGTTGTTGTATGAGATGGAAACCGGTTCGTTTGTAAGAGGTGGAATAAGATAAAAGCGTAAGAAGAGTCTGGCTGCTAAGGTTGCTCGTGGATAACTGCGAAATTGTATTGGTAGCGGAATCGAGCCGTGCGATTAGCCCGAAGGTTTCTGAGCCACTGAGAGGGCAAGACCACTGCGTCGTCGTCGTAGTCGTCGTCGTAGTCGTCGTAGTCATCGTTGGGTTCCTGGAGTCACCGTAGCAACTCGTGAGCAAGCGCAAACATAAACTTCTTACACTTTACCGATGATAAATTCACTTTCTAAAAAGAAAATTCAATCCTATCTCTATTTCTCTCTCTCTCTCTCTCTCTCTTTCTCTCTCCTTCTTTTCTATATTCACAAGTTTTTTTTCTTATCCTTCTCATTTCATTCCATATATTATCTCATATAAATCACATATTTTATTTTTTTGTTTTTGCTTTTTTAAACAATGTTTTTACTACTCGATAATCGTCCGATGTTTATCTATTACTTAAAAAAAAATAAAATAAAAGAAAAGAAAAAATCTTTTTATCAATTTTTATCTTATCATTTAAAGCAATTTAAATACTGATACGATTTAATAGATGATGGGGACCTATCTAAATCGGATTATAATATAATAGCAATCATATATGAATAATAATAATAATAATATATGGTTTATATACCAGAAAAATTCATACTATTTATATAGATCTTAAAAAGAGATCTTAGGTATATAATGATAGTATTATATTTTTGTTGTAATTAACTTTTCAATTATCAATCGAATAAAAATGAATATCATTTCTATGTAATGTTTTGATCAAAATTATTTTTATCTAACAATCGTTTATTAACGTTTAAATCATACCTGTCAATTGTCACGATTTATTCAAGATATTAAAATAATAATAATAATAATAATATCTAGAGCAAGTGGATTAAATCATTTCAACGAAATAAAATTCA